TCAATAGTCCTTATGATGCTGGTCATACTTATCAGAAGCACGACCTATGCCAGCGCATTCTTCGTCTCAATATCACCCTGACTCCCCAATATTCTTCTCAACGCCACATGAAAATGATTATTCTATGATTATTATTACAACATATTCCCTGATACATTAGCAAATGAAAGACAATATGTCTGCGCAGAGATGACGCTGGGTTACGAAGGATTATCAGAACAAGCGTTCTCAGATCTCTTAGTTTAGGAAAAGCTTTCACGCTGAGCACTGATACCGTAGAAAAAGATAAGTCTTCTTTGAGAAATTTAGCATCCTAATGTCCAATTACCACTCGTAAAAGTATAGGGAGAGTATAGAAGCCTCTCGAATCGCTTCAGGATGCCCCCGAAACGCTGTTCGACATTGTGCAATATAATGAAACATTACTCTCCTTGAACTTGGCCTCGCTGTAGACATTGTCAACAACTCCACTGGAGATATCTACGCACATAAGGTACCGCTCAATTTGCTATCGCATTTCTGTGGCACCTTGACTTTACAGAGGTTCACTTCCGAGGCAGTTGAGTTCGCCAGAGTTGTTAAGTCTCCGTAGCAATAGCTGTGAAGAGTGCAATATCAAGAGTGATATGATACATACGAAGTTCATGCGAAGAAGCGAATCTTCGTCCTACGGGTCAACTTCGCATTCCGCCCAGCCTAACTGCTGGTGTTGAAACGGTACGAGCTTGTCCTACATTTGGTCTGAAAGCCGACACCAAACGTAATGGAAATATGATTATGTGCACCTGCATGGGGAACAAATCATGGTATATGACTGATGAGCAAGTAGATTCAATAAGGGGGGACTATAATGATCATCTCCGGGATTACATCTTAGGAGATAAGATTGCATGGCATACATTGACGGAGCTACATGATAAGGTCCATGCGCTTACAGAGGAGATTAGATGGATGTTGCATCAGAACGAGTACAAGGATTTGAAGAGGCGTATCATTATTCTGATTATGGAGACAAAGTGGAGATATGAGTATCGACATGAAAGTTTAAGAAGATGCAAAGACGAATAACTGGGGAGGACGGAAGATGAGGCAAGTAATTGATGGCGTCAACATATTAAGCAGCGAACCAGTCCCATAATGACTAAGTTGAGCAGATCGAAGTCTCCAACGAAACAGGCAGGTTTCCGCCTAGTATTGAGTATAACGATTGTCCCTGTATTAGTAGCTTATTTGAATCTCATTCTACTTTCAGCCTGCGTCTTGATGAGTTATCGTGATCAAAGAAAATTGGCGGGGTTTTTCTCAGTGGCATGAGCCATAGTACTCTTGTGGAGTTGAACCGTATGATCGAACAGTCAGCAAGTCCTCAACAATTCAGCGTCACCAAACACCCTTTAGGGTTATTCTTATTAAGCAATATGCAACTCAATGTTGCGACTATAAGCTTTATAGCTCGCGAGCTCAAAACAACACATAATAGCAGCGCGGTGCCCATGTAGCCCCTCAATAGCGCCGTCCGGAGTTAATGGCTCCCACGCGTCATGACCTAGTCCGCACAGAGCCTAGCGCGTCCTCAACCCCTTCGCACCGCTCACAAGGTCGACTGCACAACGACATGCTTCATTGTATGCATCCCAGTAATGTCTGATCTATCTTCAATCAATTCGAATCTACGTCATCGCAGGCGTAATACCTACACGGATGGACCGCCTGTACCACCCAAGGACACCAATGCGAGAAGCATTACGACATGCAGCCGGCGTCTCACTATTACAGCAGCTTGCCCCAGGCCACATGGGCAATCGAAACCTCTTCCACCTGTTCCAGGCTCAGTAGCCGGAAGGCTCAGAAGCGAATCACTATCTAAACCATTACCGGCGCCTCCCCGGCGGTCTCTTCTCCGAATGACCCTTCTCTGGGTGGCGGGCTTTTTTATCTGGTTTATCCTCATTGTGGTACTTCTACCACATATCACAGAAAGAGACGCTTTGCCTGGGCTCAACAGTTGGCTTCGGAACTTGTGGACGTCAAATCTCTACAATTGAGGAATCGTTCTACGACCATATTCCCGATCTCCACACGCAATGACCAACATACTGAATCCTTTCTTGAATACAGAAGCTCTCATCGTGTCATTTCCGATAAACTACAACTTGGGCTCAGCTCTCGTAGCATCTACAAGACTCTTCCTTCCACCGAAACCAAACAGATACGCGGCAACCTTGCGCATCTGGATTTCCTCACTACCCTCCGTGATCCTATACCGTCGGTGGTGCCTCCAGATATGCTCGAACGGATAGTGTCGAGAGTATCCGTTACCGCCATGGACCTGTATGGCTCGATCCGCAGCCTCAGTACACAGCCTATTTGCGTAGTAATTGCACATAGACACCTTGTCCCCGATCTTCCTTTCGATCTCATTGTGTGGCATTGAGTCCATCTCCAGCGCTGTCTTGCGAATGAGCAGTCGGAGCATCTCGCATTGAGTCGCTAGTTCCACGAGCGGGAACTGGATGCCTTGGTTGTGTGAGAGCGGGGTGCCGAAGGGTGCACGGTCATTGGCGTATTCGACCGATTGCTGGACGCAGTATACGGCCGCGCCGAGAGACGAAGCAGCTTGTCGGATACGATTTTCGTGGACAAAGGCTTGAGCGACACCGAGACCGTTATGTATGGGACCTAAAGCCGCGCTCTCGGGTACCCAGACATCCTTGATGGAAACGGTCGCATGATCGGTCGGCATGTTCAATGTCCTGCACATCATTAGCGGCTACTCCTCGGTCTGCCTGGGTTGACTACGCACCACTCATACGACTCTGCTTTGATACCTGGTGTCTCTACTGGCACGATGAAGCATGAGATGCCTTTCACCTCGCCATCCTTTTCCGACGTTCTCGCGAAGACGGAACAATGTGTGGCATGGTGCATGCCAGTCTGCCATCGCTTGTACCCATTCAGCAGCCAGCCTTTGACGCCATTCCTTGTCTGTGGTCGTCCCTTCGTCGCCATATGTGTCGCGTCCGACCCATGGCCAGGCTCGGTCAACCCAAAGGTCATCCTGAACTTGCCCTGCAGCCGCAGCGGTATCAGCTCTTCCTTCTGGTGCGCGTTACCAAAGTTCATGAGCATTACGACATCTGGAAAGTTCCCGACCATTGAGTGCTCAGTCTGCAAATCATTGAACAGACCCAGTCCCTTTGCAGCGAGATGCTCTCTTATGACCGCCATCCAGAGATTGCTTCCTCGTCCATCTTCGCTGTTCTGGCCACCATACTGCTTTGGTAAAGAGAGTCGGTAGAAACCAGCTTCATCGGCCAGTCTTCTTGACTCGTCCAAGAGCTCTTCCCACTCCTTGCGCGGCAAGCCGCCATTCTCCCAATCCGTTCGAGCGTTGTTCGCGCCGGTGGTCGAAGAAGCGGTTGTTGTCGTCTTTGTGTTGCAACGGAGTGATCTTCTCATCGATAAACTTGTCGAGATCGGCGAGATATTGCTTCAAATCGTCGGGGATTGAGAAGTTCATAGTTCAGGATGGCAAGATTATCGAGGTTCGCGGGGAGAGTGTGGACGTAATGATGTTGTCTGCGCAGAAGTTGCCGTTTTCAACGTTTTGGATATCGCGGGAATTTGGACAGTATTCCAGAGGCCTGGAACGATTGGAGGGACATCGCGAGATATACATTCTGATGACGTGCATGCAGGTTTGATGGTGGGGATGCTGTGTCTAGGGAGTTGCTCTGCGGGGAAAGCACTGACCATGCGGAGACAAACCTCGGCCTATTACCAGATCTGTCCAGCTTCGGAAAAACACCTACGACTTGACAGTTGATGGAGCTCACGCCAGATTGATGGCAAGCTGCAACTTTCCCAGATACAGCACACAATCCTAAAAATGTCTTAAATGTTAAGTCATCAGACCGTATATAAATGCTGTACATCTCATGTGTGTGAATTCCCAGTGTTCAGAAAAGACGGCCATAGTCCCTCTTTTTCCGCACTAACCCTATATAGGTTAGTTCGGTCTAACACCCCCAGCAACTGCCCCATCACTTCAAACATATCAAGACACGGGAGTTTCCTCATCCTTATTTTTCCTATTGATTCGGAATTTTGCACGCCGGCAAACTGAATAAATGACATCCCCAATGCACCTTCGATCCGTCAAATCTACACTTTCCGGAACCCCTTGTACCACCGCCTCTTGACACCATTCTGTTCCACCTCACGTTTCTGTTCACCGCTGAGTCGATCATAGTCCTCCGATGACAGTGATTCGATTGATTCACCCGAGCTATGCGCAGCATGTGTGCGTTTAGCAGAAGTGTCCACAGCACTAGGCGCTTCCGCAAACTTGGCCTCTGCTTCAGCCGCCGTAGTACTCTGTACGACAGCCGCTTCCCCGCATGAATCAGGTTCTTCAGCTTGCTCCTTCGCTTCCTGGATCTTCACAAGATCCAGTCCACCAGGTATCGCACTGTAGTGTCGCAATGAACCCAACTTCGAAGGAGAGGGTAGGTTCTGAAACGGACAAAGACCCGCTACTGCTTTTGCAAGCTTTTCGAGATCGTCGCCCTCGTCGCTGCTATACAAACTACTACTTGCAGAATTTCCAGCTGGAAGATTAAGACCCAGACCCCCAACGGAGTTTGCTTCTTGGTGTTCCTCATCAGTTAAAGCATCCCTCGGAACTCGCGTCATATCCGTCTTGATAAAGTGTCGCGCCAACCTTCCCGCGAGATGAGGATCATCTTCGTTGACTATTTTCGTCTCTGGCAGTTGTCCTTCAAGGATCGCGAGAGCCTTTGCTTGCTCTTCAGCACGTAGCTTGTGCACACGATCAAGTGTAGGCGTACACTCGATGACTTGCCCGGCTTCCTGCTTCTTTCCAAAGGCTTCCAGCGGCATTGATGCATCTGCCACCGACAGCTTGCGATCTTCGGATGTCGCGCTGGTATGGGAAGCTCCGAATGAATCTCCCGCCTTGCAAATCTTCGGTGATAATGAGGTAGCTAGCGTGTGACTGAATGCCCACGAAGTCGTTCGTGTCTCCAAGTCCCCGTCTTTCTTGCCTGAGAATCCTATCATATCGAGAGATGTTAATGACTCGAGCTCCACTTTGTTTCTTTCTTCGCGTGTTGCTGCTGCTGCTTTTATCATAGCGGTTACACCTTGACGCAGCTTTTGGGTCGCATCTCTCTTCCCGACAACTCTTCGCCACCTCTCTTTCTTAGAGATCTCCGCGTTTTTATCGCTGCGCACGCCAATGGGGCCTAACAATGGCTTGAACCTCGACCCTATGTTCTGCTTGATCATGGGCTGCTCCCCTGAATAGTCAAATTCGCTCAATGCCTGCGTCTTGGGTGGCGTCTTCCGCGCATATATTCTGTCTTCCGCTATCGCTGCACCATCATCAGCAGCTGATACCTGAGCGTAAGGTCCCCCGCCAACAATATCGGCGTATGGGTTGTACCAACCCGCAATAGTCTTTGCTTGGGACTTCCCGCAGTGTGTAGAGGGGCTACTAGGAATATTATGGATAACACCAGTCGAATCATCCCAGTATAGAATGCTCTGCGAGTCGTAGTAAAACGGATCGCTCTGACGTTTGGAACTTGCATTCTGAGCGGTCTCTGCTGGTACAAGACATCCTTTCTGTCGGCACGGAGATTGGTCCTGGTTCTGACTTAGCGCAGTCTGTGGTGCCGGCGTGGGATCGCTCGATGCTTGACCCTGGCCCTGGCCTCGATATCGGCGGTGTCCCAGCACATGCGGAGAATTGCCATGAGTATCTGGTTGAGACATAGTTACTGTTTGCTTGGTTCCCTACTGTGAGTTGATCGAATATCGGCAACTGTTTCGAATGGCGATAGCGAGCGAGTTCGAGGACTGACATGTAGAGAAGCTTGAAGAAGGTCTGCTCCTGTCAGAATGCATAGCCTCTGTAAATTTATGAAAAATTCAAGAAGAGGCGTAGCAGACACGTGTTGTCACCCTAGTTATTGCGTACCAAACGGCCGGGAACGTGCAAACGTGATCCTGGAGTGCTTACAAGCACGTGATAGATTGTCACTATCTGCGGTTACAAATTCACTGATATATCCAACGCACAAAAACCCAGATTATTATCAAAAGCCTCCCTGTTTCTGTCCTTCTGCGCCGTTAGATGCAGATGGAACATGTCCCAAAATCTCTTCGAAGCCCTCAACCATATCCTCCTCATAGTCTACCATCTCAAATTCCTCCCCTAGGCTTCCATCGTCTACATTTTCCTCGTAAAATCCATGCTGCGTCTCAGTGCTATCCTTCGTCTGTCCTTTGGCTGCAGATTGTGTATGAGCGTTTACTGTCTTTGCGAGACCGTCTAGATCCGGAGGCTGGTGTTGCTGCAGTCCTTCCTGGACCACAGGTCCCGTATCTAGCTCCCTTATCGCGCACCTTCGCGATATGCGTGGAGTATCTTCAGTGTTTGAACGTGGAAATACTGGAACATCTGATCTCATGAGCTGCTCGCTATAACGCCGCTGTACACGCTCTCTCTGTTGCTGGTCAAGTCGCTGATCTACTGTAGCGTTACAGTTCTGTAATTTAGAAAACATGTCATCCACAATGGTTCCTCCTTGGGCATGCTGAAAGAGAAGCGTGAGGTTGCTTGGAGGGTTCCGCGCTCTTTCGCGGCTGCGGATAGGAGGGGTCCGTTCATTTGGAGCACTTTCTCGCGATGGTTGACTATGCTGCCACATCGTTAGGGATTTTGAGTAGTTAGAGAAAGAATTTGGAGGGAAAAGTGACTGTCGGCGAAGTACGAATCAATGTAAGCCTCAGGGGACCCCCTTATAGTTTTTCAAAGGCCACGTGGGTGCTGAGTCAAATGCGAACCCTATCATAGCCAGCACTTTAGACACGTTCATGTTAATCCTGCCACTGTCATAGCTTCCATAACGGCTTTGCTACCAGTCCATACATGTAATTGCAGTGGTGTATATGAATCTCCACAGAACAACAAGACTGTACAAAAAGACGCTGATCATACGCAAAGACTACCCCTTCTTAGTTGAACACCACTGTACATGATCTTCCAAGCCCAACCCATGCTCCAAACTGGGCTTCAATACACATAAATACGCAAAAAAAGATTAGAAACAAATTATTGAACGCCATACCACGCAGTGATCTGCTGGTCAAAAAAAATCAAGTATTCCGTTGCCTCATAGCTCGCGTGTCAAAGAAAGCCCAGGGTAGCACTTATAAGTCTTTCGGTGCGCGGCTACCATTTTTGGTTCTCGTCACTTAACTCGTTGATAGCTGGTCCAGCCCCCGATGGCTTTTTTGTGTCTCCAGGCACAATACGTAGTGTCCCAAACTTACGAACTCCTTTAGTGGGGCCATCCGGCTGTGGCTTCTTTTCCAGGAGGCCTGTTTTCCGATCATCCGGGTACTTCTTTTCCAGTGAATCTTGGCCAGTGACTTCCATATCAAGATCATAGCTTCTCCACTGTTTCTCGGCATCATCTCCGAAGTTTTTGATCCACTTAGTTCCGAAGACTGGTCGGTATTTCTCATTGAGGGCCAGATCACGTACACGGGCTTCCAGACGCGGGTGTTGTTCCAGTAGAGCAAACATGTTGCCATCAATGCCCTTGACCTGTTTGATACCCTCTTGTTCATGCTGTCGCAAACGCTCAGCAACGATCTTAATGACCGCGTACACATAGCGGCTAGATTCGCCCAGACCGTTCCAGATGCATTCGAGATCCTTAGCAGATATAGGTCGAACAAAGTAATACTTCGCGATGTACTTGTCAAACCGGCGCGCGTCTTTGTATAGACCGAAAAGCTCCATCGTCCCAGCAAGAGAGCAAGCCGCGAACAGTTTTTTGGGGACTTGGATGAACCCCGTTGTCTCCATCGTGTCGTATTGACAAGCGCGTGTCATCCACCTTAGTAGTGTTCGAAGGCCAACCTCACTAGCACTGCCACGTGGGAGAATCATCTCTTGCGCCATTGGGTCGCCGTGCGAACTGACGTCATCTCGGTAGAAAGTGCAGATGAACCTATTCACGACCTTGTGACCGAGGAAAAGGACGAGAAGCTTCTTAGGGACCTGCCATGCGAGTTCAGCGCCCGTGCCCTCTTCAATGATATCTAGAAATGGCCCCTCGAGCGCACTCAGTTTACGTTCCGGCTGCAGGAATGGTAGCAAGTCTTGTAGTGCGTACAGACGTCGAATTTCCTCGGGGTCTGGATACCAGCGAATCGCATCCCACTGCGAAGTCCAGCCAGCACGATCAAAGGTATCCACAGGATTTGCGAACCTACAGCCGTCTGAATTTTCTGATGGTTCATGGCAATCGAATAGGTAGTAGTCTGCATCAGTTGGCTCGGAGGGTACATAGTGGTACAAGGAGTGATCCACTGGTTGATTGTACGATAAGCCGTAGGACGTATACGGAGGGGTCTGATTTGGGGATTCGACAAAAGCCGGACACGAGTGATTTGCTAGTTCACGGCGCGTGAGAAACGCTCCAACGAAGTCTCCCCGCTCCTCGTAGGCACGACCCGGATCCAAAGGACCAGAGTGGAAGACCGGCGCTGCGGGGTCTGAGTCGGAAGCCGTGACTGTACCATCTTTCCCGTAGAAATAGAATGTAGCCATTCTAGATGTAGTTTACCTACGATCGCGCGCTGTGTGTTGCTCTTTGTCGTTCAAATGCAGTGTCGGGGTTATGGAGCCGAAAGGCGTTTTGCGAGTAGAATGTGTATCGAGAGCTGATTTTAATAAGGAATTGGTTGAACTATGTGCAGTAGTATGAACAGTAGATTCAAACAGCGGAGAGCCTTTGGGATACAGCGTTATGAATCTATGGCGTGGGGTTCATTGTAGCCTGGAAGCGGAGGCAGCCACATGCAGTAGATAGGTGGTGAGAGAATCCAGGATCTGAATAATGCGCGCGCTATGTCGTGATACTGATGTTGTCGCTGCAGAGCTGTATTTAAAGTGGGGAGAACGCCTGGTTAGCAGCTGCCAGTGGAGGTCTTGGCGTGTCTGATTTGGCAAGATCTGCCGAGTTCCAGGTGAACGCCGCACCAAGACAGTGTCACGTGCGCTCGCCACAGTCTCTTTTTCAAGACATACGGCGACGATGTCAAGGCTTTCGGCTGGAAAATTGATAGGAGGAGTCGAAGAGTCACGGAGTCACAGGTACGGTCGTTGTTCTGCTTCTGAGAAAGGCGAGTTATTAATCTAGTGGCACTTTGCAGGTACTTTGAGATCAGGAATTTAGGCGTCAAAGCTGCCAAGACTACTAGATCATGAGTCACGGTTGAGAACTCTCTGATATTATTGGACAAGAGATTCCGCATGCATAGGTTCACCTGTGCACATGCGCGGGGTTTGATTTCCTTCTACTCAAATATCTGTCGACTGGGATGAAGTATGAACTACCCAAATGTATTCCCGAGCAGCTTTGCGGATTGAGCCGTTTGAACTATCCACCGATACTATCTCATCATTGGCCTCTAAATGTACCATCTTGTCCGGTTGTCAACAAGCCCTCAGACCAGATAACCAGACTCCGCAACAATCAAATCAATCAATCTTAAGGTTGTCGATTGGTTTGATTAGCTTGCGGCGACGCTGCTGATTGATTGCGGATTGATTGTTAGGGTTTTTGAGCAGATTGATTGCGATTGATTGGTTGATTGGCTGATTGATGCTAAGAAGTAGTATACAGGGGGTTATGGTGTTGTACTCCAGCCTTCTATATCGTACTGTTGTACAATCTCCTCATCTTTGACGTCACTCCACTTATCTTCATCATCACCGTTGTTGTACAAGCCGTCAAAGCCAGCTCGTCTCCACGAACGTACAAGCTGAAGGGCAGCAAGTAACTCGCTGCCAAGAGCTCGCCGGCGCGGCTCAAGTAAATCGCCAAGCTCGCTAAAGAGCCTCTCGCAGTCGCAACTAGATGCTGGTATCGTGAGTATATCAATCGCAAACTGGCTCAAACACGGGTATTTTGAGCGTAATTGAATCCAGTACTTGACTGGGTGGCCATCGCTAAGATACTGTTCGCTTGTCCACTCTGGCTCTTGAGTTCTCCAGCGCTCGTACTCATCGTCGTGGGCAGCCTCTACCTGAGCCTTGTTGCGCCGTACGAGGGCGCCAATCACATCATCTATTCCTCTATGCCTTGGTTTTGCAGTTGTTTGAGATAGAGGACGTGTACGTTGAGGCTTATACGACTGCCAGAGCTGCAGGAAGCCAGCGTTGGCTGATGTTAGCCATTCTGGCTTATCCACCCAGCTGTTCTCGCAGTAGTATTTGTAGTATGGATGGAGGCAGGTAGCAGCGTAGTATGCTGGCGATCGATCGAGCTTGTTGTAGTAATCGTTGGCCTTACTCCAGGCGGCGCGGAGGTTAACAAAGAGGTGATCTTCAGGCGCATCAGGTGGGTTGAAGTCAACTTGCTCGTACGAGCGCGTACGGGCTTCGAGCGCGCCAAGTACGTATTCAAATACAGGAATAGTCTCATATATAGCGCCGTATTTGCCTGCCTTTCCGCGACCCTCAAGCTTCTCCGTAGCAAGCTTAAGCGGCTCTAGGCAGTCCTGATACTCTGTTATCACCGCCCAATCAGCAGCTGTAAGTCCTGTTGATCTCATCCAACTAGGTGCTTCAGGGAGTTTATTGCCACGTTGACAAGCGCGGCGATCTTCAAGGGAGAGTGCGTTAATGTAGTGCTCAGCGTAAGAGTTGTATGCTGCCTGGAGTTGAGTTGCGCGTTTGAAGGCAGCGTAGTAAGAGTTCCAGCGTGTAACAACAGGCTTCACAGGCTCAAGTACGTGGAGGCGCTCTCTAGCTGGCAACTCGGCGTTGGCGGCGGTTTGGAAGCTTCGGAAAATTTCGTGTTGTTGAGGCGTTTTTATATGGTTGATAACGTCGATAAGTACACCTAAGGGCCCTTCTTGACGCCACTCCTGCATGTACACCTCCTCTGTTTGGAGCTGCTCGTCGTTGTTGTTGTTGTACGCCTCTTGATTGCTGCCAAAGATAATTGCCTGGCCAATAAGGTTAAGCGTGTGAGGGCCGCAGCGGAGGCGTCGGTGAGCAGCGTTGAAGTCGTACGCGTGGGCGAGCGAGGAGACTGCAGTATCGTTGTTTGCAGCATTGTCGAGGACGAAGTAGCCGAGTTTATCACTCCCAATACTGTATTCTTGGAGCGTCTTTTTAATTGTATCAGCGATAGCATCACCAGTATGAGAGCCTGCGAGATGTGGGAGGGCGATGGGGAGATCTTGTATCACTCCAGAGGCGTTAGCAAAGTGTGCAACGACTCCAAAGAATCCACGCTTGCCACCCTTTGTCGTCCAACCATCAAAGCTTATGTGGATCTTGCTTGCAGCTTCTGACAGAGCGCAGACAATCTGTGGCTGCATATATTGGAAGAGGCGCATTGCGTAGGTAGCTACACTGCGAGGACTTACCCACAAAGCTGCCTCTGCCTCTGGGTTTGCAAGGCTAATCATCTCGCGAAAGGACGGCCTTGCAAGTAGCTCCATTGGCAAGTTGTTATCAAGAAGGCAGAACACTGCAACTTCACGAAACTGCTGGATGTTGAAGTTGCCCATCGCGTTGGCAGCCTCTTGAGAGACTGCAACACCAGTCTCCAGCGTCTGTCGTAGAGAGAGTTGCTGCCCTGTTCTTCGAGGCTTCAGGCCGTCTTTTGTAAAGCCATGGCCTCGTTTCTGAAGGCCAAGATGAGCTGCAGCTGAGGAGGTGGCCTTTGATACGTCAAAAACTCCACTGCCGCCAGTGTCAATGACCTTGTGGATGTGGCAGTATTTGCATACAAACCACACTCGATTCTGATCGTAGAGCTCAACAACGCGATATCCATGTTGAAAGATCCAACTCTTGACGCGCCGCTCAGTTGTAAGAGGCTTCATGAACCGAGGGAGGCGATCCCAGTTAATGCCGTCAAAGTTATCGCCATTATCAGGCTCTGTATCAACACTAGCCTCTGTTGTTGCTGCTGTACCAGCCTGGCTGCCCTCAGCCGCACCCTCCTCCTCTGTTTGCGACTCGAAAAATTGCGACTCAAACGTTGTGGCCTGGCTTACGGCGGCGCCAAGGGTTTCCTGAGGCGACAGCGATCGCTGAGATAGGACAGAGGGCCTTGATAGGCGCGCCCGTTTGGCGGCGGCGGCGGCGGCAGCAGTATTGGTGGGAACTCGAGAGCGTTTGGCCATCGTGGGCGATACTAAACACTAAAGAAAAATGTCTGTATAGGTAGCTAGGCAACTAGTGTTGTGTGTAAGGGATTATTAGGGAACTGAGTGAGCGAAATCGTTGTTGTATTAAGAACAGCGAAGGACTAGCTATATAGGTGCGGGGTGAAGCCTAGAAGAGGCTAGCCCCTAAGCAGAAGGAGCTAGTCCTATAAGAGGAGAGCTAGCTGGTGAGAAGTGAATGCATAGAGACTGGCTTGCCCGGCCGACAGGGATCACAAGCTAAGCGAGATAGGGGTCCAAGATAACTATCTTCAACACCAAAAACCTTCTCTTAATACGACACTACTCGCCTTACAACTCGTTAATAATAAATCAATCTAACTAATCAAATCAATCAATCTGACCTTCGCAAGTTGATTTGATTAGCTATTTTGAAAAGCTTAGATTGAGTTGATTGAGTTGGTAAAAACTCCAAATGACCAATCAAATCAATCAATCTGACCAATCTGGATTGATTGTTGCGGAGTCTGCAGATAACTTCCAACCATCACTCCTCGCGTATTTCAGGGCCCTATCTTCTCATCCGGAGACCGAAACAAACTTTCCAGCCCTCTATTCCAATCTTTTTTTCCGGCTTCATAGTTTCCTGGTTGATGGCTGTGACATACCGGTCGCTTAGGTAGCCCTCCTCATGGTCTCCAAGGCTATACTGACGGCCTTTCGATGAGAATAGGGTACTCGTGTGCCAATCTACTCGGCCTTGACGTCGATTGACATGCGATGAGCGATCGACGATAACGTCTCCTGGTTGCTCGGAGCTTTCACTAGCTCCTTCCAGGGCATGGTGGGCAGCTCTTCGATGCATCTTGCGATCCGATATAAACGACTCCAGTTGCTCTAGCTCAAACGCAGACGAGGTGTCTGATAGCAAGGTCCTGCGGAGTTGGGACGTTGACTCATCACATTCATGCCCGAAAGAAGCCGGTCGCTGCGATGCGCGGTGCAGAAAACTAGTGTCTCGACTGAGGTCTTCTCCAAGCTCATCTGGACTTACAGATGCAGGTGACACATCAGATGAGTTTATTTGGTCCTTGTAATCTGCGGAGATAGATTTCGGGCTCTTTAATAGACGCCGTGGCAAGCGATGATTAACGACGTCTCCTATGTCTGCATCTGTGCCAGGAGCTTCGAGCAGTTCGCCCTGACTGCAAGTAACGTTTTCTTCAATCATCCGTCGATATATTTTGGGCGTATCAAGTGTTTTCTCATGGTCCGGATTATACGGAAGCTGTCGCGGTCCGGCAGTGTTACAACAAGGAGGTCTTCCGGTGTCATCTTGTGTCTTGGTGTGATGATCAGTCGTATCTCGGGTCGACTTTGAACTGCTGGAACGAAAGCCTTCTTCTAGATTGGAACTATTGA